AAAAAAAAAAGAAGGAAAAGAGAAAAGAAAAAAATGTTCTATAATGTGAAACAAGACATAAATAGTACTTTTATTTTTTAACTTAGATTCAAGTTCACCAAATTAATTTCTTCCTGTTTCATTAGCTAGAAAAGTTGAATAGAACAGAAAACAGCTTTTCAGAAGCAATTTGGCTTACTCTTTTCTATATCAAACACAGACTTATTGAAACTGTTCTTGTCTTTTAGTGTATACTACAACAAAAAAACACAGACATTTATTTGTTTTGAACTGTGAACGTGGCAGTAGGAGAATATTTCTTGATGTTTTATGAAATAAGTGGCTACCTAATTGTTTGATAAATGTAGGGATCCTTTTGTAAATATCTTTGAGTTTGGTTACATAAGGTTTTGAAAATTCAGTCAATTTTGTTTTTCTTTTTAAAAAGATGCTTTCTGTAATTAACTAGATATCATGGAATACATCTGTATAAGGAGCTTCAATATTTAGGCCCTCGGGTACTGATTTAAGTAGTCCAGCTGGCTAAAGCAAAGTCTGGAGGTCATGTTTACACTAACAAAGAGAATCACAGATATGCACCATATTGTCGTAAACCCAATGGGAGACGAGGTTGAAAAAAATCACATTCTACATTTGTGCTGTTGGCACTACAGAATCTCACTATGTACACACTTCAGCATATGCATACCACAAAAGAAAATGACCTGTGGTGACAGGAAGTCACAACAAGGGAATGACTGATGCTCACCTTACTACCAGCTCCTCTTGGTTGCTCCATTTTTCACAAGGTACTTACTGGCAATGCAAGCAGAAGTGTTTAGCTGTGAGCGCTGAATTCTCTCTCTTCTCCACATACTGAATAAGAAAAAAAATTGTGGAAAGAGAACTATTCATTAAAACTTTATGTTGCTAGGTGGGGCAGCTCACCCCTGTAATCCCAGCACTTTGGGAGGTCAAGGCGGGCAGATCACCTGAGGTCAGGAGTTTGAAACCAGCCTCGACAACATGGCGAAACCCTGTCTCTACTAAATATACAAAAATTAGGTAGGCGTGGTGGCTGGTGCCTGTAATCCCAGCTACTGAGCAGACTGAGGCAGGAAAATCACTTGAACCAGGAGGTGGAGGTTGCAGTGAGCTGAGACCACACCACTGCATTCCAGCCTGAGCAATAGAGTAAGGCTCTGTCAAAAAAAAAAAAACAAAAAAACTTTATGTTACCCTTTGTTGTTTCTCCACATCTAAGTTCAATTGCTTTAGTGAACCAATTGAACCTAGTGTTTTTTTGTGTGTATTTGCATTTTTTATTTGTATATATAGTATTTTTTGGTATCTCCCAAATCAACTAATATGCTACCTTTGACAATGAACTTTGCTACTGTAGTTTGCTACTATATTGGCTGACTGAATTCCTAATTCAATACACAGGAATCCCTAATGTTAAAATAATGAATAATATGCACTACTTCAAACATCATACATCCTGTAACTGCTTGTCACAATGTCAAGAGGCATAGAAAAGTCATTCTGTTAAGTTGAATCATGTTCAGTAAATATAGAGAATACAAAGTCACTAATTATTTTTAATTTTAATGAAAATCTTAGATATATACTTACAACCAATGCTCCTTCTTAATTTCGAGAAAATTATTTTCAATCTAAATGTTTTCAAAATAGCACTTTCAGGAGCTTCTATCAGAAATATGTACAGATCAGCTTGTTCTTTCTTGGATATTAACATTCACACTTGCTATTAAAGGCAGAACTGAACCGTTTTCAAGATACGAAGAGACTCCTTCAAGATTATTATCGGGGAATGGAAAATAAAATCCCAGTAGAGGATAATAAAAAATTTACTAGAATCCCTTTGGTTCAACTGGATAGTAAAGACAACTCCGAAAGCCAACTTAGGTAAGGCAGACTATGATATCACACGGAATTGTTTTGAACATAAAGCTTCGTGATTTAAAATTAATCACCACTAATAAAAATCACACTCCTTTATCTGCAAATCCAAGGTACAAAAAGCTCTAATAACTGATCATGGTTTTCTTTTAAAGTTAGTATGTCATTGACTAAAGACTACTAACATATGTTATTCAATTTATAGGGAATATTTACTCATTTTGCTGCAAAGATAAAATGCATTTTATGATGGAGTCATTCCACAGACTCTGCAGGTGGTATTAGGGAATATATGGTATACTCAAATTCTGAATTCTGAAGCACTTTTGGCCCCAGTGGTTTCTGGTAAGAAATTATGAACCTCTAACACTTTTATGAAAGGACCAAAGCAGGGCTGTGTGGGTGTGGGTGTGTGGGTGTGTACATATTGTATTATATAAATGAAAATGGAAGATGTTTTGAGTCTTCTTTTATAGGTGAAGACATTGAGAAACAGTAAAGTCTCAGTAGTATGTGACAATGACCTTATGAGAGTGACTGAAAGACTTATTAATAGTCTAACGTCAGATTTCTGCTAAAAACAAACTTGGTGATAGGATAAAAGACAAATTTTATTTTCAGCCAAGCAAATCCTGTGTAATATAAAAGTCTATAAGTCACTGTTTTTGTAGATCCAGTGGGGTAGGGGCAAGGGAAAGGCAAGATCCCAAACTCTGAGAAGCTCTGAACAGACAGAAAAATGTCTTCGAGACATGGTAGTTAGTAGTGGTTCCAATTTTTGTGGCATGGTTTCCAACTATAAAACATTAAGAAAGATAAAAATAAGAATCGAAATAAAGGCAATTAAAAAATAGAAATCAAAATCCTTAAAAATTAAATGAATTTTAATTGAAAATAAATCAATAAAATATAGTGAAGAATTAAAACAATCCTTTTTAATAATCAGTAGCCAGGCAATAAGAAACAAAAAAACATTATATCAGATATGAGGAGGGGAAAAAGAAAATCAGATTAAAAAAAATAATATAAAGGCACTGCAAGTTAAATTTAAATCTCCAAGGAGATGTACATCTTATGTGAAAGGCAGTGTACTATATTTTTACAAGTTTGCTCAGTCAATGCAGGTGTCAGGAGTTGCACAAACTAAATGGAAGATAATGTATATATTTTGAAGTAAGACAGATCTGGTTTGAATCTTGGTTCTGTTACTCAATCACTGTATGTAAATAAGACAATTTATTTGTTGTCAGGTTCACTCCATCTCTCTTCAGTCTCAGTTTCCTTATCTGTAAAGGAGAGTTGTTGTGAAGATTACAAAAAATAAAATCTACAAAGCATTTAGTACCATATCATGGTATCAGAAGATGAGACCGAGTCCCAATAACTCAATAAATGCTGATTATTACCTATTGCATGTTCCCGCTTTGTTTCTTTTACTCACCCTTGTTCCAAAAAGGATTTGAGATGGCCTGAACACAATATTTTATGCAGTGATCCAAAGCCCACTTCTGTTCTTTCCTGGCTTTTTCCGTCTACCCTCATCGCATCCCTGTCAGGCCCATGTGTACACGAGAATATCTAAGAGTAAGAATGTGTCCCCTCTTTTTGGCACATATAGAAGGAAAACGTTCAGCAAGCTGCTGAAAAAGAACTTTGAGATTAAAACAATTAAAAAAAATTTCAAAGGCAATATGAACCACTAGAACCATGAAAAGAGGCCAGATTTCAATGTCTAGAATGGCAGTACATTCTGTTCCTAGCACACAATCGCAAGTTGGGCATAATGGGGAAGCTGTTAATGTTGGTTAGTAGAATGAAACTAGCAAAAGAACAGCCAGTTCTTATTTCCTGCAAATAACTCTGCACCAGTCTCAGCCTCAAACCACAGCTTTGGGTACCTACTGGAACTATCAGTCAATCAATATATCAACCAACTAACCAATCAACCTGTCATATAAAGGGAAACAAGAACAGTGATAAACATTTTCATATATTTTTTCTACTTTATTCCTCCCAACAACTCTATAGCAATAATAATATTAGTAGTAGTATAGTAAGATTATTCACAATGATGGTAATAACCAATAATTAGTTGATAATGAATACTTCTCATAATAATTATGTTTGTATTATTCTAGGAAGAACTGAACCTCATAAAATCAAGTGACACGTCAAGTTCATACCTACTAATAGTGAGGGAGCTACCTAGACCAGTGTTTTTTCCAGTAAATAAATTCTAAACGCAAATTCTTTTTCTAAGTGACATGCTACTGCTTTGCTGTCCTCCAAAGCAAGAAGTTGAAAAATACATGTTGTATTGTATTAAACATCTAGAGACGATCACACAAGCCTTACCCTAACCTACTGAACACAGGAATCACAGTCAAACTGGAGTGACAGTGATTTAGCCTCATTTAATCTTAAAATGTAATTTAATTTGTGCATAGATGAGTAGCAGATCTTCAATACACTGCCTTTTGAGGTATGGTAAACTGTGGTCTACCTCTGACAGGACCACATGACTAATACTAATATAAGGTCTGAAAGGGGCTACTGCACAGAGGCAGCTATTTCAAACACTTTAAGAATCAGAGTGCCAAGTTCAAGAAACCTTGTCTGATGGTTCAAAACCTTGTCTGATGCTTCAAAGCAAGCTAACTGTTTGTGGAGTTTACAATCATCTTTCTGAATCACTGCTCTATTCTCCAACAACTTGAGTCTACAAAACCAAATGCTTGTTCCTAGATTACTGAGTCTGACTCTTCTCCTCTAGTTTCAACAAAGTCATCCTTGGAGCTGCTCTCTTCTCATTTCTTCCCCAAGCTGATAACCCTTTGCACTTTCTATTACTAAAGCAGGGTCCCAGTTACAAAAACTTTCTACCTTGTAGATCTTTCTCTGCTTCTGTTAACCTTTGAGATCCTGGGATCCTTCTGGGTTAAGATATTCCCAGAGGCAGCTTAGAAATTTCTACACAGGAGCAGCAATAAGGGAAGAGGGAGGAAGAGCTTAACTTTGTGTTCCCACACCACTTTATAAAACAAAGAGAAAACCTTTGTGGGGGTGGTGCTGTCAACTACCCCATCGACCATCAAAACTTAGCTGCTTCTGTGCCGTAGCCCCTTTCAGACCTCACATTAGTATCAGTCATGTGCAGTAGCACATGTCAGAAGAGATCAGGGGTGTTCAATGTGGGATGGCTATGGACAGACATGTCCTACCTTCAGCTGTGCCCTTCGGGATGCCAAATGATACTTTTCACCTTAGAGAAGTGATGCCCACTTTTGTTTGGTTTGCTTTTTCTTGACTGATTTTTTTATTTATCCTTCATCAGAAGTGTATACTCTGGAACAAATTCCAAAGTTGCATTTCATTATAATGGCCATTGTCTAATCTTCTGTTTTATAATTATTGAGAATTAAGCGCCTGAAAAGTATGTTTTGTTGTTGTTCATTTTTAGTCTCTTCTTATTAACAGGACATTCTAGACCACAAAAATTTGAATGCTGTCTTTTATAATCTTTTCTCCATTAAAATAATTCTTCCAGGAAAACTTTGAAAATTAAGACTGAACCAAGACAGTAACATTTACAAAGTAAAATGGTCACAAAAATAGAATTCTGTTAAGAAAAATATTTATATCCCTTTTGCTTGTTTGTTTCCTAAAGAATTCCTCTAGTTCCTCGAATGTCCATTTCTCTGGAAACAGTTACGCCCAAACCAAAAACAAAATCAGTACTGAAGGGCAAGATGGATAACTCCCTAGAAAACATAGAGTCCAACTTTGAGGCCAATGAGAGGCTGGTCATGGACACCTGGCAGCAGGCTTCTTTAGCAGTATCTCACATGGTAAGCAGTGCTCATTATATTTCCTGTTAGTAATACCCACTCACTAAGGACCAAGGTTGGTAATATGCTGTAAGTTGAAAATTGCACAACATTCTCAAACACTGTATAAAGTTAAATCTTCAAAGCATTTTTTTTTTCTGAAAAAAATAAAAAGAGAAATGTGATTCAGTCAATACGTATTTGAGATCATGAAACAACACTTAGATTATTTTCTGTGCTGGGCTCAGGTTCCAAGTGCAGGGCCTAAAGCCAGTCAGGAAATGTTAATGAGGGGGGTCAAGTGTAAGACAATCAGGAGGGCTGGGTCTGGGGCCAAGCGGAAGTCACACCCCTGTTTGCAGGTGCAAATGAAGTTGCCATTTAAAAATGAGGTCTGACATGGCCAGATTTTCCAATTTTCTAAGAAAAGCCAGACATTCGGATTTTTATGTAAAACTACTAATTTTAGTATGTAAGAAATGAAGTAAAAAATTTTAAAAATATTCTGCAGAGCCAAGGAAATCACACCTCTGGCCTCTAGGGCTCTAGTTGGCAACGTCTCTGCTAGGCATTTTTTCTAAGTCACCTATGGGGTAAATATTATTATCCAATTTACGATGGAGAATTAAGGTTCAGAAAGGCTAAGAAACTTGCCCAAATTCTTCTAACAGGTAAATGTCCAAATAAAATTTGAACCTAGGTCTCTATGACTTCAAAGCTTATATCATTTCTATCTAAATCAAAAGGTAAAGGGGAGGCATACACGTAACTTTAAGCAGAAGCGTTATACCATGCAGAAGATACACACAGAGTTTAACTCAGATAATCAATTGCTATTCCCTCATCTACCAGGTCCTGGGTCCACCAAGATGTTTTCTCTTTTCCATGCCAAGCCTTCTTTGAGTTTCCATGAAATATCATTCAAACAGAAAGCCGTGTCAACTTTCCAAAAGATTTTGTGAAAGAGGTAGAAGAGAACCTTGCATCCCAGATCTCACAGCAAACGAAATTTCCAACTGGGCACACTTTCCAAGTCCCTTCTTGGCCTCTCTGCTTTCAGGCTTCTTTTTTTCTGACCTTCTCATTCAAGCAGCCTCAGTGTTTCCTTTCTTTCTCCGTCTCTTTCTTTTGTCCTCCCCACTTCTTTCTTTTTCCCCTCTCAGAAGTAATAATGGCTCCTCTCATTGTTTTGCTTCTTTTGAAAAACATTTTAGTGTGGATTTTGACATACATAAGGAAAATGCACGAATTATAATTGTATGGCTTAATGAACCCACCTAAAGTAAATACTCATGGCACCACTCCCTGGGGAGAAACGGAACAAGGACTGCACCTACATAGTAATACTGTGCTCCTTCCCATTCCTAACCCACTTGATATCCTCTAAAGGGGATCACCGTCTTGCCTTTTTAGGAATTATTGGCTTGATGTTCTTAAGAGTTTCATTACCAAGTCTATCCCTCTAAACACTGTTGTGTAGCTTTCCTTGCTTTTGAGCTTTAGATAAATGAACTCATATCTTGTCTTTTTTGTGTCTTTTTTTGCTCAACTTTCTTTGTGAGAGTAATCTTATATTGTTCATTTTTGTTGCTGTATTGTGTTGCATTATATGAATGTATCACAATTTATTTAACCAACCTGCTTTTGATATACTTTTGGGTTTCCAGTTTGGTGTTGGTATGAATACTGCTGCTATGAACATGCTTGTACATGTCTACTGGTACCCATGTGTGTAGATAACTGTTGAGTATACATCTAGTAATGTGTGCTACATTTCAAGTTAGTAGACAATACTATACATAATACCTTGGCTTTCATAGGTAGTGCTAAACCCTTTCCCCATTTCACTGCACTGTCATCTTTGTCATGCATTAGATGGCCACGTCTGTACAGGTGTGTTGCATTGCTCTATTTGCCTAGCCTTATACCAACACCACACCAATATCATACCATTTGTTTGTTACCTGAATGAGCAAATCTTCCCACCTTGTCATCTGCCAAGAACATTTTGGATTTTCATGACTTTTTGCCTATTAATTTTCAAATCAGCTTGTCAAGATTCACAAAAATGTTGGCTGCTAATTTTTAAGGCAGTATTTATCAGATTATGAGCATTCCTTTTCATATCCTGTTTACTCTGAGAGGATTTTTCATGAAATTGTATTTTCAAATGCTTTTCCTGCCTCTATTATATAATTTTTTCTTCATTTTCTATTAATGTGAAAAATCACATTGACCAATTTCTAATGTTAAACTTATATCACATTCCTGGAATAAGTCCAACATTTTAATGAGGCATCATCTTACTTACATATTGCTGGATTTGTTTTGTTAATTCTTTGTTTAGAATGTTAATCTTTAAGTGAGAGAGTGAAAGCGAGAGAGTGTAATTTTCCTTTCTCATGCTATCTTTGTTGGCTTGTAGCATCCAGATAACACTGGCTTCATAAATCAAGTCTGGATATGTTTCCTCTCTATACTTTGGAAAATTTTGTGGAAGTTGGGATTATTTCTTCTTAAAATGATTGGTAGCACTCACTGAGAGACCATCTAGACCTAAAGTTTTATAGGAAGTTTGTGGGAGGAGTTTGTGTTGTCCTCCCTCCCTCAAGAATTCATTATCTTTAATATATTATGCAGTGCTTTCTGGTTTTGTTTCTTCTTAGAAAAAGCTTGCGTTGATTTTGGTGTTATTTTGCTAAGAAGTTTTTTACTTCTAAATGTTTACATGAAGTTATTTAAAATAGCCTGTTTGTGTTAATATTGCAATGACTATGTGATGTTCACTTTGTCAGTACTGATGTTTATTATTTGTGCTTTTCCTCTTTTTTTTTCTATCAGCTTAGCCAGATGTTTATCAATTATATCAGGCTTTCCAATAACTGACTTTTAACTTCATTGATTCCTTTTACTGTGCGTTTTTTTTTTCTTTTTGTAATATCATTTTTTCCTCCTGCTATTTTCTTTGAGTATGCCTTGCCATTCTTTCCCTAGGGATTTCAGGTACACCATAGTTTATTAGTGTCCAGTCTTTTTTTCTGCTATAATCATTTGCTACTCTGAAGTTTCCTTTGTTACTTGCTTTAGCTTCATCCCAAAGTTTCTGATGTGTTACTTTTATCATCAAATTCAAAGCATTTTAGAAATATATTTTTAAGTTTCAAAGTAATGTGTTGTTTTCTGGTTAGATTACATTTTATTCATGGAACATATTCTCATAAAAGTTTTTGCAGTTGCCTTATGATCAGTTTTATAAATGTTATGTGTGTGAAATACGTTCATTTAATTGTTTAGTATACATATGATACCTTATTGTTTATATATAAATATTTTGATATATTTATTACTTTATTATGTATTTTTAAATACATATTTTGTATATATCATTTATATCTTATTTTTCTCATTTTATTTGTTTTCTCCTTTAATTATTGAGTTATAGTAAGGTCATCTATAGTTTGGTCAGTTTGCTTTATGTATATTTGAGGCAATGAAATTGGGACTATACACATTTTTTTAATTGTACTTTAGGTTCTGGGGTACATGTGGAGATCATGCGGGATTGTTGCATAGGTACATTCATGCCAAGGTTATTTGCTGCCTCCATCCCCCCGTCACCTATATCTGGCATTTCTCCCCATGTTATCCCTCCCCAACCTCTCCACCCCCTGCTGCTCCTCCCTCAGCATTCCCCACTGGCAAACAGACACCAGTGTGTGATGCTCCCCTCCCTGTGTCCATGTGTTCTCATTGTTCAACACCTGCCTATGAGTGAGAACATGTGGTGTTTGATTTTCTGTTCTTGTGTCAGTTTGCTGAGAATGATGGTTTCCAGATTCATTCATATCCCTAGGAAGAACATGAACTCATCCTTTTTTTATGTCTGAATAGTATCCCATGGTGTATATGTGCCACATTTTCTTTTTCCAGTCTATCATGGTTGGGCATTTGGGTTGGTTCAAGGTCTTTGCTATTGTAAACAGTGCTACAAAGAACATACGTGTGCATGTGTCTTTATAACAGAATGATTTATAATCCTTTGGGTATATACCTAGTAACAGGATTGCTGGGTCAAATGGAATTTCTACACATTTTAAACTGTTAAATCGTTTTGGTGAATTGAACCTTTTCTTATGAAATAATCTTCTGTATATATAGTCCTTTTGTTTTGTAAATTATACTTTTAGATATTGTTGACATGTCATATCTTTTTCATCCTTTCATTTTCATCTTTTCTGCTTATTTTCTCTCTGTTAGTTTGGCCATCATGTATTCTGTTACTATTCTTATAGCAGTTACCCTGGGAATTACACCATGAATTAGTAACTCATCAAAGTCATTTATTTAGTCAATGATTCATGGTGTTATTTCCAGGGTAGCCACTAAGTGATTTAGTGTGTGCTATTTCCAAGCTAACATAAGAGGTAAGTGAAATTTAAAATATTTAATCCAAAAGAAGAAAAGAAAAGACGGCAGAAAAAATACTCTACAAGCAACAAGTACAGAGAAGATGGTAGATTTATAGCCCAAATATATCTGCAACTACATTAAATTTAAATGAGTAAAATGGACCAGATGAAAGAAAATAAGTATTAGGGTTTTTTAATGGGATATGATGCATATAAGGATACTAAAATGATTTTTCATTATTGACCTAAGAGAAGAATGGGTTAGTGTGATGATCTCCACTTGCCATCAAAGAATCTCAAATCCTTGACCTTCTTTAGGTCTTCAGCATTAGTTTCTACCTTGATTCCTGAACAGTTAATTTGCTCTTTCCTGAAGTACCAGCCATCTGTGATCATGTGCTCTTCCTATTCTTGTAGCAGTTATTGTCTTTCCCACTCATTTGGCTCTTCATATATAAGCTTCGTTGTTGTTGTTGTTGTTGTTTTGTAATTTGTATCTTGTTAGTTGTTAGTCTGAATACTTAACTAGATTCTAAAACTTTTTGTATACCTTGAACTTAGCATAATGCCCACATCTAGCATAATATAATAATAATCACTTATTATAGTCTTGAGATGCTGCTCCTGCTATGCTGATGATACTGATGTCAATATAAGTGATAACAGTAGTGACAGTAATGGTCATAAGTAATTGGTCACAATAAGTACCAAACACCAGAAAGTAAGAAACCAGACATAGAGGCTGTAGAAAAAAAAAAAGGGCTATTCTTACTGTTAAATGAGCAATACAGACATAATCTACAAGTCTTATGAATCCCATTAAAATTACCTGCTAAAATGACACTTAAAAATGGTATATTATTAGAAGGAGAGGTTCATATAGCACAAAGAGCACACTGGCTGTGCCTCTTGACTAAGCTGTATGATTTTAGGAAAATCACTTAACCTCTCTAATCCTTTAGTGCTGTATCTGTAACATTGGAAACAGTCTATCTTTCCATTACTGAATCGCTGAAAAAATCCAATGAAATAATGTATATAAAGTATTTTAGAAACAATAAATTTTAACTTGTAATTATGTTAAGACATGTATTTAAAATTGTCCCCTTTTCCTTGTGGACTTTTAAAAATCTCGAAAAGCATAGGAAAATGAACTGTTTAGTAATTAATATTACCAATAATTATATTTGAATCCTGCTTGACTTTGACGTCACACAACCTTAAGGGAACTTTGAATTTCAAATGAAACAGGTGTGATTCAGTAAATTGTTGTGGGGCAAGCAGTACCAGCTGAGATTAGTGCAACTAAAAATGAGAACACTTCAACACAGGCTTTTTTCTACACAGCAGTTTTACCAGGAGCTATCCATTTGGTAGGCTGTTAATTTTTGGCAAAACTTCCTTCTAATTAAGAGGTATGCAATGATTTCAAAGAAACAAGTCATATTTTTAACACCCACAATGTCAAAACATTATGTCTAAAGCTCTCTCCAGCTTTGTAAGCTAGATTGCTGAATGAATTGTGAATTATGCTAATTTTTTATAGCAACCCAGAGGTCTTAGAAGGAAGTAGACCAGAAAAATTCAGATAATTATGATACATAATTATGCAGATAATTATGACAATTATCATCATCATCACAAAGTTGTTTACAAAGGAGAAAAATCCAATTTTGAAGAAAATTGCTAACTCAGAGTGCTTTGCAGGAACCGATTAAAAACTGAATTGCTTGCAATTTAGGGGAGGAATGTTAGCAAGCCTGCTTTCAGCTTTACTAAGAATTTGCAAGTACAGTATCTGGAATTCATTTTTATCAAGAGGGCATCTGACAAAAAAAACAGAAAGAAAGAAAGAAAGAAAAAGAAAGAAAGACAAAGGCAGAAAGAAGGGAAAAAAAGGAAGAAAGAAAAACCAAATCTGCTTGCTCTCTGAAACCCTCCTGTATTCCTCCAAGGTTCTGTTGATGTTGAAGAAGTTGTGGGTACTTTCTGTGGAAAATGATTATTTTGAAAGAAAGTTCATTGATTAATAAGCAACTGCTGGGCATCCTCTTGAGCACAGCTCAGATACTCAAAGCCAAGAAGATTACAGAGAAGTAGGGCTGGCTTAGCTCTGGGAAGCATGAGGTCCCTTTGGAGGGTGGGGCAAGACTTAACACTCATAGAACACTCAGGAACAGTTAGATGCTGCCGTAGGGTATGAAGTGTGGCAGAATTTTGGAGAAGGCAGGAACTGGCTGGTTTATTTCACCCACAAAGGGTAGAGATTATGCCTTATTCATTTTTCTATTCACCTCCATTAATCTTCCTCTATCTCTTCTCACCTCCTCACCCCATTCTCCACAAAAATTATAAATAAGCCCCAAGAACCCCCATTTTTTCACCACTTACTTTACTGAGATTTTAGAGTTTTAAACCCTATGTTGCTGCTGCCTCCACAATTGTGTGTGTGTGTGTGTGTGTGTTGTTTCTTCCTTTGGGATTCTTTCCTGGTTTTTCATTTCTTAGGGCGACACTCATAAACAACTTTCGCCTCCCCAGGGGCAGTTGAACTAATTGCAAAATGTTCAGTATTTCTCACTGCAAGTACAATACCAGTGGCACAAGCCTCAAGACAAGAGTGTACATATGTGTAATCTTAATTTACAAATAATAATTGCATATATTTATGTGGTACAATATGAAGTTTTGATGTCTGTATACGTTGTGAGACGATTGAATCAAGTTAATTACCATATCTATTACCTCACTTATTATTTTTGTGGTTAGAACATTTTAAATTTACTCTTAGCAATTTTGAAATATACAATACATTATTATTAACTATAGTTATTGTGCTGGGCAATACATCACCAGCACTTATTTCTCTTACCTAGCTGAAACTTAGAAACCTTGGGCTGACATCTCCCCCTTCCCTGTCCCACCTACTCACCTACCCCAGCCCCTGGTAACCACTCGTCTACACTCTACTTCCATGCTTTGGCTTTTTAAGATTCTACACATAAGTGAGATCATGCAGTTTTTGCCTTCCTGTGCCTGGCTTGTTTTACTTAGCATAATGTCCTCCAGGTTCATCTGTGTTGTCATGAGACCAGGCTTTTTCTGCTGCCTGAAGTGCTGAGCCAGCTGCAGAGGAGAGGTGGAGGGATACCTGCAGTTCCTGACCCCATGGGTGGGGAAGGACAGAGCTTCTCCATTCAGCACTTATAATGAGGAGACAGAACAACTAATCTCAAAGCAGGACACTTGTGAGAATGAAAGGAGATGCTTGGTGGAATGGAGAGAAGCTGAAAGTCAGCTCAGCAGAGGAAGCTAAGAACCTTGGGGTTAGCCTGTGGGCTGGGTCAACCTCACAAATACTGATTATTTTGTGGATGATATTTAGTGCTAAAGTAGAATAGAAGCCCAGGAGTCAAGTGTTCATGACCCAGTTAACACAGGACATGCATTCCCCAAAACTGGCTATGGCCAGAGGTAATGAAAATACATGTGTGGAAACCACAGATATATACCCAGGACATAAACAAATACACTTCTGCAGTATTAAAAAAACATAAATGACAAAAAAAAAAAAAAAAAGAAAAAAAAAAAACTCTGCAGGGGATCAGTTATCAAGAAAAGATTAGGAAACACTGATAAAGGGAAATATTCCAGATTGGAAGTCAAGAGATTAAAGGAACTGAGAAGTACAGATGTGTGTCTGAGATTTAAAAGAAAGGAGCTTTTGCATAATCATGGAGTTGTGACAGTCCAGAGGTGGCAATGAGGAAACATAAGGATGCTTTGCAGGCAGGGCTTGAGAAAGTGAGCAGCCTCCACACAGATGGTGGTAGGGAAGCCACATCTTGGGACAGGGCCAGGTTTCCGCTTAAGTCAAACATCGTGGGGTGTGTTTTGTAATGTTCGAGTACATGGGTACGACTGTTTACAGTGGATTAAGGTTTCAACAGAATTTAGTAATGATTACATCCAAATGGTTACCATATTTTATAATTCGACATTAACTGAAATATTGCTCTTATGCAACCAGGTGGCTGCTGAAATTCATCAGAGGCTCATGGAAGAAGAAAAAGAAAACCAGCCAGCAGACCCCAAAGAAAAATCTCCTCAGATGGGTGCAAATAAAAAAGCCAAAAAGGAGCCACCCAAGAAAAAACAGGAAGACAAAAAACCCAAAGGTATTTATGGTTTTAACACTCAGAACCCTGGATGCTGAAACCTCTCCTTGCTAGAAAACAAGCATTTAACCAGACACATTATTAGCCTCTATGCCACTAAAATGCTGCTCATTCGGTTTAAACTAGAGACCCAGGCTTCTATTATTTGTGGTGTTAGTGGCAAATCATATTGCATAGCAAGCCCACCTAACTTGTTGTTCCAAATAGCCAAATGTACCTGGGGTGAAATAAACCTCAAAGACAGTTTTGAAATTTTTTTTTTTTTTTGAGATGGAGTTTCACTCTTGTTACCCAGGCTGGAGTGCAATGGCACGATCTTGGCTCACCACAACCTCCGTCTCCTGGGTTCAGGCAATTCTCCTGCCCCAGCCTCCTGAGTAGCTGGGATTACAGGCACGTGCCACCATGCCCAGCTAATTTTTTGTATTTTTAGTAGAGACGGGGTTTCACCATGTTGACCAGGATGGTCTCTATCCCTTGACCTCGTGATCCACCCGCCTCGGCCTCCCAAAGTGCTGGGATTACAGGCTTGAGCCACCGCTCCCGGCCAGTTTTGAAATTTTAAAGAAATTCCAGGATTGTACTGTGTCATCTGAAAGGTCTGCACAAAAAGGCTAACACTGCAGTAACAAACAGAAGTTTAAAAGCTGTGTTTTTAAAAGCAATGTGTATGTTTCAGGAGCAAGTTCTTTTCTCCTGGAGGCCTCCTGCCTAAATCTCTGCCTCAGTAGCATGAGGAAAAGCAAAGAATTGAGAAAATTCATTTTAAAGGAGATCTCTAATTAAACTTAGGAATGAATCGCTTTGGCACAAACATTACCTCCGCCCCCCTGAAGTGGAATCTTGAGAAGCAAATGAGAAGAACTCCACTCATAGATTGTCCATGATATGTTTTTTAGACACCTGTGTGAAATGCTCTATATGGATGCCAAGAACACAATAGTAAATTAAAAACAAAACCAAAAATCACAACTACGGTCCCTGCCCTAATCCATTTGCAGTCTTGCAGTAGAGACAGACACATAACCATTGTTCTTTGATAGGGGAGGTACAGATACCTTGAGAACGAGGTCTTCTCACTCCATCTGAGGGCATAGAAGATGCTTCCTAGATGTAAAACATTCAAGCAGCCCAGAATGGAAGTTAGAGAAACACACTGAGGATGGAGAAGGGAGTGGGTCAGTGGCACTTGAAGGAAAAGGAAGAGTATTACCTCAATAAAGAATGCACCACTTCAGTCCATCTCAAGTGGCAGGAATAAGGAAAATGCTTCTGTTGACTAATGAAATAACTGTTAGGGTCTGATCCCTTAATTTTACAGATGATAAAACAGAAATCCAGAGAGATTAATCTCTCCTTCATCTGTAACTTATACGTACATCTATTATTGCAACATATGACAATTTCTTTGCTCACATTATGACTTCTTTACAAGATTTGAACCCCTTGAGGTCAGACCCTCAGGAAAGATTCGTTGAACTGAAAATAGAACTATGTAAATGGGCCCTACAACTAGAATCATACTGCCATAGCCTATGGTAAATCCTTTGATAAGTACTGACAAATTTATATTTTCTATTGCTCTTATATAATCACTGAAATTTAATTAAATTAGCCAGGCACAGTGCCTCACACCTGTAATCCCAACACTTTGGGAGGCCAAGACAGGATTGCTTAAGCCCAGGAGTTGGAGACCAGCCTAAGCAACAGGACAAAACTCTGTCTTTACAAAAAAAAATTACAAAAGCATAGCTGGATGTGGTGGCACACATCTGTATTCCCAGCTGCTAGGGAGACTGAGATAGAAGAATCACCTGAGCTTGGGAGTTTGAGGCTGCAGTGAGCTGTAAGCATGCCACTGCACTCCAGCCTGGGCGACAAGACTCTCTCAAAAAATAATAATGATGCTTAAATAGGTTATAAATTCTTTACTATCAC